GGCGAGTTGCTCCGCGGTGCTCCGTGCCGCCGCCGCTCAGCCTCGGAGTTGCCGGGGAACCCCCGGCCCGGGACTGCGGAGCAGGGCGGGAGCAGGGCCCGGGTTCCCCCAGGGCATCGCGGGCGCCCAGGGCCGCCGGGCTGGCGTGCGCGCCCCGGACCTGAAGTCGTGGAGATGGGCGACGCGCAGGGGCGGAAAGTTTTGAAGTCGGCTGGACCTGGGAGCGAGCCCGGCTCGGGCGTCCCCCGCCGCGTGACCTCAGGCGGCGAGTCGGTCTCCCTGCGCTCCCCTCCGCCCCGCGTCGGTCAAGCGGGTTCAGGCGGGCCCACCCCGCGGGGAGCGCAGAGGCTTCAGCGCGGCGGCGCCCGCAGAGCACTTGGCCAGAGCCGGGTCCTCCCCTGAGCTCCCGCAGAGGCTGCGCGCCCCGCAGCCGGCCCAGGGCGAGCTGCCCGCAGGGACGTGACGGCCGGAGTGCCTGTCCTCCGCTGCCGAGGTCCAGCTGCACCGAGGACTTGACCCTGAGCCTGACCTCAGGCCACCTGATTCTGTCACGGCTCTGAGGACCACAGGAGGCCAGGTGTTTAGGCAAAACAGGCCTCGGCGCAGTGGATGTGAACCTTGCCAGTACCACCTCCCGGCTGTGTGACCTTGGGTTAGTCACTTCACCTCTCTGTTTCTCGGCTTGCTTTCTCTGCGCCAGGGCAGTCCTGCTAGTACTTGGTGACCGTTCACGTTACGGGAACTTGGAGCTGTTTGTAGGACAGAGCGCGCTCAGGCTCCTGCTGTGAGTTGCGTGTAGTCAACATGCAGTGTTGTTCCTGGGGAGAGGGAGGCCCAGCTGCTGTGTCCCAGCTGACCTCGATCTGAGCAGACCTTTCTCGGAGCGATGGATGAAAATCACAAAAGGCCCGTGGTCGTGGGACTGTGGTGTGCGCGCGCTCGCCCACGCATGCACGCCTGTCTGTAGACCTTTCTCTGTACCAATATAGTAATTATAGCCACCTGCAGAAAAAGGTAGCTAACGGCCCGTTTGGTTGAAGAGGAGAGAATAGGGCCAGCCACGGTCGTTAAGGCAGCTGGATCCCACATGACCAATGACATGGTTCGAGTCCCAGACCAGCCACTTGAGGAATGCTCTGAGTGTGGCTAGCAGGTGGCGAGGTGGTTAAGGTGCTGGACACTCCCACCTGGCCGATTACAGTTCGAGTCCCAGACCTGATGGCTTGCTTTCTCACTTTCCCTCTCTCTCTCTCTGTGTGTCTCTCTCTGATCAAATTAAAATGAATGAATAAATACAATTCAATAAATAATTAAAAAAAAAACTACTCTGAGTACCTGTGCTTGCCCCAAATCCCAAAGCAGGTAGAGTTGGAGAAGGGATTGTGGCATGACCATGCCCCATGGGGGGGGGGTGTTTTCTCACTTTCTGTCTCTGGAGAGCTCATGTGCCCTTCAGCCAAATTTTTAAAAAGAAGAGAAAATAAGAGTGTGTATACTTATATACACACACATCTGTCATCATTTGCATCAAAGACTGGAAGGATCCTCAGGAAATTCAGAATACTGGAGACTTGGGGCATCAGTAGAGGGGATAGGGTGAGCTTTTTCCACTGTGCATTTCATGTTTTCCTTCTGAACTGTGACTATTTTACTTACTGGGAAAGATTTATATACGTTGCTTCAATCTCAGGGCTAATAGGGGGAGAGGGGTGCTCTCAGCCCTTATTTTCCTGGGACCCACCCCACCCACCCCCCTGCTTTTCTGATCTCTCCTGTGTCCTCTTGTTGCTTTGAGTCTTTCTGGGTGGAGGCGGGGGTTCTTTGTAGCTGGGATCCCTGCTGGAGGGGCAGACCTGTCACAGCCCCCACCCCCGAAGAAGCAGCACCCAGGCACTCTGGGGGAATTCCACCAGGTTGTGGGTTGACAGGAGGTGGGGCCGCAGAGCATGCTGGGAGGCTTGTCAGTTTCCTGGGTCCAGCCTCCCACGGGATGACAGATGCAGGGCTCCTGCTCTGAGCTTTCCTGCATGTAGCTGCCGTGGCTTCCCTTCTGGCTGCCCCGAACTCCGATTGTACACCCCCAAAAGAGTAGACAATGACTGGGGGAGGTTGGGAGGTTAGACCCGGGGGAGAGCGAAGGCTTTTAGCTCTCTGAGCTTGAAGTAGGTGAGAAATTCTCCCTAGGCTGCTGCAAGGAGCTGGCAGAATCTTGGGCCTTTTACCTATTTGACCCAGAGAGGGTGATGTTCCTGAGAGGACACACAGCAAACCGACCCCTAGGCGTGGAACTCTGTGAACACGTGCTGCAGCTGCAAATGGCTCCCGAACACCCACGTGTTGAGTTTGGGCGCGGATGGCATGAAGAGGCTGGCCATGTAATCAGACTGTAGGGCTTAAAGGTGGGGCCTTTAGGGCACCATTAGGATTAGACCATAAGGGGGAGCCTGCATGACTGAGGCCTGGCGAGTTTATAAGTAGGGAGGAGAGCAGAGCAGAGACACATGGGCTCCTGCCCTCCGCCGGGTCCTGAGGCCACCAGGAGACCCTCCAGGTGTCCACCCTGGACATCAGACCTCCAGACCCTGAGCCGAAGAACCATCTCTCAGAAATCACCTAGTTTCAGGTCTTTTCTGTTATTAACAGAATGTTCTAGAACAGCAAGATATGGCAGGGTAACATGTGAGTGGGCAGAAGGGCAGAGAAGTGGATTTTATTTTTTTTAGTGTGGAGCAGGAGGGCCTCTCTGAGGAGGTGATAATGGAGGTGGTGGCCCTGTGGTAGGCACAGCTTGGTGGCAGTAAACGAGTGGAGTCATTGGTGAGGAGTCTCGGGTCAGGGAGGGGGGCAGCAGCCTGACCACGGGGTCTCGCTAAGCGTGTGGCCTTGGGCAGATCGCTTATGTTTGCTGTGCCTCAGTTTCACCTACTGTGAAATGGGCATAGTGATACTACCTTCTGGGCCAGCTGGTGGTTGAGGCAGCCGGATCCCACACGGCAGACGGTTCAAAATCCGGACCCAGTGGCTTGAAAGACGTGTGCGTGTGCCTGCCCACAATCCCTGGAGAAATTACTGCAGCATGTCCCTCCCCACCCTGCCCCCAGGAGTGGTGATTCCTCACTTTCCCTCTCCCTCCCTCTGGCAAGCACACTTGAAAATAAAATTAAATTAAAAATCTATAGAGGTGTATACATACCTTCCTTGGAGTTCGGAAAGAGGTGTGTGTATGTGTATTTAGAACAAACCTAAGTGTCTTCACAGGAAGGGCCCCCCCCCAGACCCCACTTTAAACACATTGCATGTCATGGCCACTCCAAGCCCAGCCAAGAGGTAAGTCCAGGCTCCATTTTATCCGGGCTTGACCTCTCTGAGCCTCAGTGGCCCCACCTGGATCCCGGAATGGTTGTATGGCTCTAATAAGATGAAGTAGATCTAGTAAGATGAGAAGCCTTCAGAAAGTTCGCGGAACATCCACACAATGAAAACACTACGCAGAGATTTCAAAACATTTCTCAAAAGGAACTTGTAATTCCATTTTTCCATAAAATGGTTGAGATCTTCTTGTATGTTCGTGAAGTGTTTGGCTTGGCATAAGAATGTCACCTCCCCGGGCCTGGGCGGGGCCCTTCCTGTGAAGCCATTGATCTCCTTGGGGAGCATCCCTGAGGCCAGGTGGCAGAGAACAGGCCCTGTCCCCAGGGTGGCTGTCTCTCCCGGCCTCCCTGAAGACCCAAATCACGGCTCGTTTCCTAGTGAAGAATCAGCTTGATCTGCTCCTGAGGATGCCATCCAGAAATGACAGGAGGGTGAGCTGAGGAGGGTGGCGACGAACCCCCACTCTGTGCTGATTTCTCACCACCAGGCTTTTCACAACTGTCCCTCCTGCCCAGGGTCCTCTTTTGGCGTTCACATGCACGATCCAGTGATGACGAATGGGAACCCTTCTGTCACCAGCATTAGATTAAGGTTGCACCATTTCCTCTTAAGCCTGTATCTTTCCGGTTTTTATTTTGTTAGCAAGAGCATGTGCACACGTTTGTAAAGGGAGCATCTTTGACAGGGTCTCACGGTCCCCTGTCCCCAGGACTCGAGGTCATCAGGACCTTGGACACATGCCCATGCACTTGCCATGTGTTCAGACGGACCCTGGAGAGCCAGGCCACGGTCACCCACATGGCTTCCAGCACGCAGCTCAGTTTGCTCCTGACTGTGCGAGACCTCAGCCCTGCCTCATTTTTTTTGTTTGTTTGTTTTGGGGGAGAGGTCTTTGCTATAGGGTGTGTGCACTCACCAGACAGAGACAGAGAGACAGAAAGCGAGAAATCGCCCCCCACCCCCAAGGGGATGGCCACGCCGCAATCCCTTCTCCTCCATTCTCCTCTCGGGATCTTGGGCACGCACGCACACGCGCCCGGCGTGAGTTTAAGCCACCAGGTCCGGGACTCGAACCGTGATCGACTACGTGGGAGTTCAGCAACATAGCCATTACGCTAACTGCTGGTCCCAGCCCTGCCTCGTTAGGAAGCTCGCGCTCTCCGTCATTCAGGGCTTAGCGTACTGCTCTCTTCCAGGAAGCCAGCCCCGGCTGCTTTCCATCTAGGAGCATCTAAGGGGGTCTAAACACTGTCCTGGGGCCCCCACAGCTCCTGCATTCCCTCCTCTAAGAGCGACATCACACCGCTTTGACACCTGCCGCCCCCTCACAACTTGCAGCAGAGAGAACATGTCCCGTTTGCCTTCACAGGCAGTTCGTGGGATGCAGGGAGAACATGAGATCCGTGTTGAAGGGGTGAGTTCGGGGGGACTTCATAACCCAAGGAGTCTGGCCCAGGAGTGTGAGCCAACAGAAAAGCTAATGCCACCCTCACCAGCCACCCATGACCACGCCAGCACCCCCAATCCCTGCATCACCAGTTCCCTCCCCACATGAACTGGCTTCAGCACTGAGCCGGCTTCCCTCAAAATAGGCCTGAGCGCCAGCTCACCCACGCAGGGCCGTCCCCGGAGCAGCCCACCCACCTCCCTTCTCCTTGCAGTGATTGATTTCAAACACGCACGGTTGACCCGGGCAGCTTTTCTGAGCCAAGAACACTCACTACCTGGACTGCCAAGATTCCTGTTAAAAGCCCGAGCAGAGGTGTTTTGGGGGGCGGTGAGCTTTTTGTCATGCACCCTCTGCAGTGTGTGTGCGCCGGGGTGTGAAACGGGAAGAAAGGCCCCCCAGGACTTGCTCATTCTTGTCGGCTCCCCTTCAGCTGACCAGGAGGGATCCCGCTTCCTGTCTCCCCCATTCCACGCCTGCTCCTGCGGTTGGAGAGGAAA